GCGCCGCCCATCGGGCGACTTGTCATTCGTCGATCCGTATCTATGCGGACGATTTATCGTGCTTTATGCACATATTCGCGCCCGCCGGTTGCTGGCGGTGCAGCGTTTGCGCGCCGCATGCGGGCAGCTGCATCAAGACCAGGGCCGCCCTGCGCATAATGATACATTGCGCCGGACATGAAAGTTATAAGCTTTAATTCGAGGCTCGCGCGATTCGCCGTACGGTGACCGTATATCGATCGCCAATTTGCTATGCAGATCCAAGGCCTTTCGGTGAGCTCCCTGACGCAGCCCCTGCAATCTTCCCTCCCCTTCCACCCTTTTCACCCTTTTCCATCGTGCTTGCCAGGCCATCTCGCTTCCACCGACACGCGGGAGCAGTCACTGTACAGAAATAGAATAAGCGAGGATTAAAGTACGCGCTATCGCCACGATAAGATTATACTCCGGCTCCGATCTGAAGACGATTACACGTCTTGTCGTTCGTGGCGAGTTTTCTTGTTTCCCGTACGTTCCAACGCACTCCTCGGACGCTGCTGTGTCTACGTTCGCGAAAGTCTATTCTTGTGATTCGTTCGTTTAGGACACGCGAATTTAGTTCGTCCAAAGATATTCAATGATTCTTCTCCTATACCATGCGAATCGAGAAACATACATTGAGAATAATGGGTATGCGAACGTACGTTACTTTTCTTTTTTTTTTCAGTTTCCGTGTTTTTTACTCGCGTTGCTTCGCAAAATTCTGCCGAATTCATTACATCACGCACGTGACCAAATCGCGCATTCCTATAGAAATTCGACGATCTATCCTCTAGAGTCTCGTCTGGATCGAATTGAGTAACGTATATCCAGTATCGAGTAGTACTCGTTATCCATTCCGATATCATCTTCGATCATCGAGCTCTGTATTTTCATTTATAGACAATAGAAGCTAGAAACGTATTCACATTGTATCGATAAATGTATACCGAACTCGGATTGAATCAGACCCCAATGATACAATGTCTTCTTTGACGGTCGCAGACTTACGTAGTGAAACAAAAGACGCATTCTGGTGAATCAGAATCGTACGCGTTCCGTTTGCGCGGCACGGTCGAACATGATCAATCTCTCGCGGCGCAGCGCGGCGTCGCAATTAGGAAATCCATTTGACGTAATTGCGCGAACGACGCGATGACCTGGTAGCTGGTTGGTCATTTCTCGGCTACCGCGGTTAATCAAACGCCTGTAGTCATCCACTTGATCATTTACCTATACTCATAGACCGATATCGAGACTGTTGGTCTTTGCAGTTCCCCCACGGGTATGCCGATCGTTGGGTTTCCAGGCAATACAGGACGATCGTTGTTTCCATTCGAGTGTGGATTCGATGAGACCGAGCCCTGTATCGGTGCTGATCTCGGTAGCCAATCGTTGACGCGTTGTGAAGGACGAAGACGATAACAAAGACGACGATCGTAATGGCCGCCGATTAACGACTTAACGACCCCCGTTCGGTAGACTACGGTAAATTGTAGGTATGTTCGCGGCTATGGACAGGATGTTGAAACTGGATCGTGTCTGACTATATAAAGATGTGATTGTATCAAGGTAGTTTGTGGAAATTTGATAGTGGGTTTAACGCGAGAACCGGCTTCAAGAGCAAAATAAAAAGGATCAGAACGATTTGTCGCTCTTTATTGAAATTATAGGAACTTACAATTCTGGTATGTACTTCCTTCGAGATAGGGATGTGATTTTAAAACTTGAATTCGAGATTGTGAAAATACAAGTAGAGATTTGTTTTCTTTAAATTAGACGTTTCTTTCTTTTTTTCTAAATCCTCCCGTTTTCTGTCTATTTCAGCACAAAGAAGACTCGTTGGTTCTTTTGATATTAATCCTACTGCGATCGTTAAATTTGTATATTTCAATCTTCCTTTGATCTCTCAAACTGAAAAGACTTTTAATAAAAATTTTCGAAAAATGTTTAACATAAGATTGAAGCGAAGAATCATGCATCAATAGTAATCCTATCGTACTTTGCTCGAACTAGAGATATTTTTCCAACGTTGAAGATATACAATTGACTGGAAAGAACGCAGTAGAGTTAACAGGATATGCTTTATACAAGATTTATAAGGAGCGTTACTCGATCGTAGTTTCGATCTGCAGCAAATATCAGCTCGATCTTTTGTCCTTTGGCCCGTAGCTGGTGCAATTTCGAACGTACGCCCACGGAAATTGGACAACGGCGTCGTAATGATCAACCATTATGCTAATCGCGCGCGAGGATAAATCTCGCACGATGATACACACGCGGTGAATTGTCACCTGCGTGTACAAAGACAGTACGCATCGCGGGAAGAGAGAGAAAGATATGCCATGCAAATTGTAGCCTGGTTCGCGTTCGTAGTTCACGCTAGAGCTACGTGGCTATTACGTTTCAAATGTAAACGCCACATAAAGGACACACTCTGCATTGTTAGACTAATGGTCTAATGAACTGAACAACGTCTTGACGGAAGAAAGGATCGAATGATACGTTTGACCCGCGTGAAATGAGGCGGAGCCGGTGAAAAACCCACCACGAAATTTAGGTTAGAGGTGGTGCACGGTGTTTGCACGAACGATTTCCTACACGGTATCTATAAATATAAATACGCGTATTCGATCGCAAACATTTGAAGATCGTAGGAAAAGAGCATGATAAATACAGTTTTGTTGACCTTTTTATTTTGATATCACTTTACGGCTAAACAAGAATATTTTCATATAAAATAGTTAAAACTGGAAAGAAGCTATGTTCGATCAAGGATACAATTGTTTAGATAAACAATACTTTTTGGTGTTTTAATATTTTCAATGTTTCAATATCTTTCAATGTTTTCACGTTGTGACAAGCAATATTCGTTAAATTACGAAGAGGATGCTGGAATACATATTTAATCTGAAAATTACATACCAAGAACAATTATGATAACGTACTGACTTTTAAACCTGTTAGCCTTTAAAGAATGGAAAATATAGTTTATTATGTTCTTCCTCTGTGGTCTTCATTTGTATAAACATGGTACATAGTTATAATTAAATAACCAAATACATGGATATTTACACGAACATTTACATTTACAGTAATAAAAAATTCTAAATATCAACTTGGTAAAATGCAAAACGCAATCTGATACAGCGATGATGACAACAGTTTATCTAAAGTTATAAACGAAACAAGCAGAAGAACGAGTCGGGGAAACAGGTAGAAGCATACAGCGAAGCCCGTGTGAATCTTTATCTACCTAATTCGTCGGTCAGATGGTAAAAGACCCGGACGAGGCTGCGCGCGTAGGTGGCTGGCCATGGAGTTTCTTCATCGGCTCGCAGGTGTAACGCTGGTTAACATACGACCAATCCCTTTTGACGATATATTATCCTCCGGTTGTCCCTGGTCGATCTCCGACGAGAATTATGTGGAAAGTACTGGCTTGCGTAAAGTGCTGCCTATTTCTCTCTCGATTTCTGTGTCCTCGAGCGAATGGACCCGTCTTTGGACTCGCCGTGCCGTCGAATTATTGTCCTCGTGAATCTGTGCTGGAAACGTGGCATAAATTCTCGTTTCTTCTCGTTCGAGGCAACGTCAACGTTCACCGTTATGCTAATCCACCTTTCTCAGCTGCGACACGTACATTTTGTTTCCTTCCTTTCTATCAAAACGAAACTTCGATAAAACTACGAACAGATAAAACTTTAAATATACTTTTGTAAATTCACCGCGATATAAAAACCTGTATTTCCATATATATATTTTTCATCATTTTATTATCTCAATTTATAAATTCAGATCTCTCGATTCGTACGGTGCGTATATACGCGTTACCGGCGTACGTACGCGAAAGAGGTGGAGTTTCGAGAAGATGGAAGCGGCGATAGCACAGAGGCAAGAGGATAGAGTTGTTAACCGTACCGTGAAGCGTTACACAGGGATTACCCGGCGTTGGTGGATGAAGGCGAGGGTTGCGCCAGAGAAAAGCTGGAGGGGTTGCTACGACGTCCTTGACCGTGAATCATCCCCGTACGGTAGCTAGCCTGCAGGTTGGTTGGGTCGTACGGTAGGATGCACACCGGAGGCTATCTCGTCTCGTGCTCTGCTTCTCTAGAAATCAATAGCGTTCTCGTTTGTTGCCGGTAGGAAATTGTGCCAGCCTCTAAACGGATAGATCTCCACCACGAATCCGTATAACTCGCGTAATCTGTCTGATTTTTCGATACTAACAATTTCGTTGACAAACTGTCGTCGTTTAAAGCCACTGTTAATGTTGCAAGTTCGAAGGCAAACCGCGCTTCAACGAAGGGGCATTTAAATCTACCGTGTTATTATGCAGATTTTACGACGAGCGTAGTTTGCAGTTAATAAGTGTCCGCTTCAACAAGAGCCTGGGTAGCGTGTGGATTTAATTAATTGTTCTATCGACGGACTGTTTTTCTTTTCGGTTGTCTGTTATTATCGGAAATTTCGTTTATCTTTATGTCGCTGTACTGATCGTTTGAATTAAGATGTTATTTGCAGATCGTGGTACGATTTCGTCGAAGCCAGTGTAACAAATCTTTATTGCACTCTGCAAATACATGATTAACCGCACAGTAGCGTGTGCAGGTCACGTTACATATAGCAGTAGATCTCCACGTCAAACCATAAACGAACGTACGGAGATTTCATATTCGCGAAAGATTTACGATCGAATCGATGTAGATTTCCGTTTTGCAACATGTACCACGGGTGACGGCCACTTGAAACTATGTACATATTACTCGGTATATAGCCGACAGGTTGAATCGAGAGACGCGGGAGGTTTCGTATCAACTTGGGAAAAAATCACGAAAACCGTATCTATCAGCGTACCTTACGCGTAGTATAAGTTAGCCAACCGATACTCGCTCATATCCGTCTATGTTTCATGTTCACGATCTCGTGTAATACACCCACTAACGCGAGTCGGTTTTAACAGAGTAATTAACACCCACGCGAGCCGGTTAGCTGCCAAGCGCGATTGACTTTGCTTTCAAAACAGAATGATTTGCCTTTCGTACCTTTTTTCGTGTCGATCAACACAATCGTTTTCACCGTTCAAAATTTTACTATCGTTGACTTCGATTCTCTACCATTGCACATACGTAAATAAATATAAACGACGACGTGTATAATCGTCAAACGTTAACTGATTAAAAAACGAGATGATAATAAAATTACTTTCTCCTACGATTTAATCGGACACAAAAATCGCACAACGTAGGAACTAGACTTGATAAGTATCAGTTCTAAGTCTTCAAATTTACTTGCGGTAGATACAGGTGTAACTTTTGCGCTCATTAACCAGTACATTCACAGTGTACTCACGAATTTCACAAGAAGCCGTCCCTCTGGAACTTCGGGAAAATCCGTAAAATCGTAATTAAACAATTTGCCGTCATCCTGCCCAATTGTACTTGTTTGCGATTTGTGATAATAAACTTGGGCTCAAGGCGACTATCAGTCGCCGAACGTAGCCGCGGTCAACGGGACGGGCGCTTCGCCTAACAAAGGTGTGGAGTTATAGTATGACCCTCATTAAAAGAAATACCAATAGAGGTACTTGACAGTAGAACATTCCAACGGTTTCTGAGGACAATGAATACCTGATGTTGAGGCACGTACACAGCGCAAGTCCAGTTAGCCCGAGGACCCGCTATAAAACCTGGGTTTTTTCCGGCAATTAAGATTTTCCAAACGGACAGACAGTCTTTGTCCCAAACTGACCAATTGACAGCGACGTCAATTTCCCTTACTTTCGGAACGAGGGCTATACCCGACGAATCCGATGATCACGTGTCCTCATACACACCCCATCATAGTTTTCCTCTGTGGCATCATTGGGACGAAAATTCATTCTTTCTTGAGATCCCACCGACGATGGGAGCAGCGCCTGACGATCAGTGAGTTTGAGTTAGAGCAAGTATACCTTTCATCCCGTTGACCGTAGATTCGTCATCGAACCTAAGACCAACGTCACTAACATCGCAAGTGCCTAACCACCGCTGTTGATTGTCGAATCGGTAGTGTCCATACTCGTAGCATCAGGCCCTATCTTCGTTATCACACAACGATGGCCAACTCCAAGGGAGGCCTATCAAACGCCCACAACCCTGTTCCTGACTCTTCTCCGACATACGTAAATGTCAAATTCTCGCGTTATATTCAACGCCAGAAGATATTACAGAGCGCTAGTATCATAAAAGACGCGAAACGAGTCGAAGCCGAGCCAGACATCAAAATCTTTTATTATGAACAAATTATGAAAGCGTTAAATTCGGTTACAGGATCGTCTTCTTACGTACTCGCGATCAGGTGACGATACGAAAGAGCCTCGTGCGGCTCGTGAGAACGAGTCACGAGCACGTTTTCCCGGCGGCGTGTTCTCTCCCGGAATTCCTCGTGTTTATATAGGTCAGGAGAGGCGCGTGGCGCCTATCGATCGACCCTGGAGTTCGAGTTCAAGGTCGCGCATCTCGTTTCAGAGGCTGCGCCTCGCGCGGCTCGCACACGTGCAATCCCGTGCAACCCTTCGCTTTACGTTGCCGGCTCTCCGTACGCGAGTCATCGTCGAACCTGTGTCTCTCAGAACCTGCCTTTCTTTCTTCGTTTATTTGGATCGACCAACATCTTCCTCGTGTAACGACAAAAATACGTATAGAATAAACGTGTAAAGTATAAAATGGAGGAGAACACGAAGGGAGGAAAATGATGGGTATCAGGTGAAAAATGCGTTTTCGATCGATTAGCATCGTTATTCTATTCACGATCGATAATCGTAATTCCAAGTTAATTTCTGGCCTCCCTTCGTCTGGATGCTGAAGACTGCGTGTTCGTCCGGTTATTGCAGAGGTGCTTGTTCCTCAGTTGCGGTTACTCGCTTCCGTAACGACCGCTGAACGATCGCCGGCGCTAGGAAAACGATCATTTTCTATGGTCGAACAGGTAGCTGGGTTGGGCCGGGTCGTTAAGTAGGTGTACATACCTGCCGCAATCGCGAAGTCGCCAAAGAGGCTGGCTACCGGAGTTAACGAGTCCCCGCAATGCCTGTACTGTCGTTGTCGATCGTCTCGTCTTCGTCCTTCTCCCTTCGACTATCGCTGTTTCGTTTTCCGAGTCTCTTCATCGACGTTATTTCCTTGCCGCTCTTCTTTTTCGCGTTTATAAGATCCGCGCGCCAACAAGTTTTTGGTCTCGCTTCCTCTCACGTCGAAGAACTACCACCGATATGCGTGGGCAGATGGATAGATCCAGCCAGGATGAAAACGAATCGAGATATCGATAGTCGCCAACAACACGCGCCTTTGGCCGAAAATGAAGAACGACCAGTCTACCCCCTCGCGCTGTTGCACATATGCTCGTGTATAGCGAGACAGAGAGAAGGTCGTTATCGACGATCGAATCTTGGTACTCTGCTGATTCTCGAAGTGGGCTTACTACGCTCGACGTTCTCTCTGGCCTGTTGCAGCCAGTGGTTCCCAAAAAGATGGTCGTGTGCAGTATATACTTCTGACAAGTTATTTTGAGCTGGCCGATGTCGTTTTTTATTGCGTCGTTAATCGGTGGCGACACCTGTCTCGTGAAAATCCGATAATCGCGAAAAACAGTAATTTTGCGTGGATGGTCTCTCAGCTGGGATTTTTGTTTTTTTCTTAATAAATTGCACGGTGTTTAAGCCGTCGGAGTATCTTACGTCAGATTTATCTCGTATCGAGATTATTCGTTCCCTTGGAGTACGATGCGAAAACAACGTGGAACGTTATTCCACTCATCCATGCGCGTTTTCTTTCCATCCCTCTCCTTTTTTAATTAATCCTTATCCTCACCTGGCGGACGGAAAAAATTATGCCATTAACTGTCAAGAGTAAATCCGAGTTTCACGTGGCTCAGGTGGCGTAGAGGGCAATCCACCGAGATTCACTCTGGTACACCTGTTACGAGCGGCGTGGACCTCGAGGTTTCTCTTTCTTCCAGGTCCTCTCTCTCGCCCCTCATTTGTAGGTATCGCGGCCCTCCCACTTCTCCGTTATTTGTTCGTGCAGGTACCCTAACTGCTTATGCTCGGCCTTCTCTCTTCGGGGACCCGCGGTCTCTCGCGCGGCAATAAATTCTCTTCGCTGCTACTTCTTCGCCTTGTTCCACCTTCTTCTTCTCCTCGTCCGCCGCCGCGCTGGCCCTCCATATTCTACCGACAGTTTTTCTTCGCCTTATGTTCCGTCTCCGCGACTCTCCATTGTGCTACACACCGCCTTTAAAAGGTACTTTCATGCGCCTCCGGAGGCTCCAGCGAAAGGGTATCGATCTTCGATAGTTTCTCTACGAAAGCGTTGATGCCGCTGCTTGCCACCGGTTCGAACAACCGCGTCAGGCAAGGCGTAAGGCAATGTCACTATATTTTTCCTTTCCTTCCTTTTTTCTCTTATCCGTTTGTAATATTCCTCTTTTTCTGCAACCCCCGCCTTTGGTTTTCGTAGTTACTCGACGAAGGACATTCAGCTTTGACGTCAGCTGTCAACTGCCGGGATTTATTCAACGATGAAATTCGAGGTTCGGCCAGCGTGGCGTCTAAATCAACCTCGCGGGTATCTACAACAAATCAAACGATAATTATCGGTTCGAATTGACGGTGTCGATACAAGATTCCTGCGATCGATAGCGCGCGATAGAGAGGCGTTAAATATCGGGAGACCGCGAGAAAATAATCGGTACTTGACTCTAATCAACCTGTTCCACCATGCACCACGATAAGGGTTTATTAAAGTAGTTCATTCTTTTTTCTCCTTGGCGATTTCCTTTTCGCCGATTTCCTTCGTCATTTTGCGGAGAATAGCCCGTGCAGCAGAAATTATCGCGTCGATCGATCTATCGTTCGCACTTTTACGTCGTTTCGATCGATGGATTTTCCGATCGGCGTCATGAATGAACGAGAACGATCGAGCTTTAATGCTGACAACCAGTTTCGAACGCTAGCGCGACGATGCTGTCGAACGTTGATTGAATCCACTCATAGCCGCGTTAATTACACCGATCCCAACCGGTTATTATATAAAAGCTGCTCGAACGAACTTTCGGTTTGCGCGACGAATTAAGTCCGAGTTGCAAATTTTTATTTTTTTTTTTCAGTTAGGTGTTAGTACATATTCATCAAGTGGTTATAAAAAGAATTTTGCACGTATTCCTATTTTTACAATGCTTTTTTGTGAGATTCTATGTCTCACTTTTAAATTTTTGTAGTCGCACGAGGATACTGTTAAATGGTAGAAAATTAGATACACTCGAACCTAATTAATTGTTACACAAATATTTTTTGTAAACTCTGCATACGAATCTCACGATAGTGATCACTTTAACGATCGTCTGAGGGAATATTCAATTTTTTGCGATTTTTTTCTTAAATAAATGAACGTATAAAAAAAGCAGTTGACTTTATACTTAAAAGTATATATGTAAATATACAAAACCGCAAGGTATTAAAATTTCCTTTGGGTATATGTTCTACATAATACATGTAGCACGACACTTATGTCACGTTTCACTGATTCTGGCTGTACGGTTTATGTGGGAAAACTTTTAATTTTTCATTACTTGTTTAGATACAGATCTATGTACAGAGTGGCCTAAAATATTTTATAGCGTGGCAACGGTACAGTTTCCGTAAATTTATATCAATGTTTTCAGTGCTACAAAAATGATCTCAGAGACCCCGTATGAAAGAACATAGAGCCTTATGAATAGCCCAGGTCTGAATTCGACTTTCGTCTAGCGTACACTATATACTTACATGCGTCTGGTAATTACAAAGTCGAGCCGACCACGCGCCATCGTAACTCGCGCAATTGACGCTAATCGTCGAGACACGTTTCATTGGAATTCATGTACCTACAACGTATAGAATCTATACACCTTCCCGTGTCGCCAGATTTCACGGATTTGTTTCATACGGTGGAATATTCGAGCGTTAATTGAATCTCACTCGCGAGTCTTATCGAGAGACACGCGGTACTCGCATGAACAGATCCACAAACCGAACGCGTATTCTATATTTTTCTTCTGGTTTCGAATTATCTTGAAAAATCCCCTGCTACTTCTCTAAACAGG